GTTCTGGCTCGAAATCGCGGTATCGCCTAGGCTGGGCGATGTCGGACGTGACAAAACGACTGCCCGCTCCGCCTTGGTCCCGTGCGCTTCTTGGGGCTTGAACCGCTCCATGTCGCGAAAGCGTGGCAAACGCGCTCCCGCCACGGTCTCGTGCGCTCCTCGCGAAGCATCACCCTATGGCTTCGAGATCGTGCTCGCCCTTCGTGCCACGCATTCAACGGCCGACGCGCCCGCGCTCATGCTTCTCGCATCTTCTCGTCAGTGCAGCACTCTTGTGTCGCTTCTGGGCTTGGATCAACTGTGACACTAGCGACGAGTCCTTGCCATGGTCTTACACTCTTTGGCATAGCGAGGGCTGGGCAATAAGGTCCGACAACGTCTTCCCATTTTCATTCTCATGGACTTCACCGACACATCGTGCCCCACGATACACGGGGCTCCTTGCCGCAACACCCCCAGTCGACAGAAAGTAAATGAACTAATGGTAGCATCGAGCTAGACAGCACTGCACCAGGTGATCAGATATTTCGGGCAAACACTTAAAGCGACCCATGAAGTGGAGCTATGGCTGGTGTTGAACGCAAAGCCAATTTCAAGAAAGGGGATGCATTGCAAGCGTGGCTGAGTTTGCGACGAGGTCCACATCGGGGCCGTACGGCGTGAGGAGCCTTAAGAGAGCAAGGCATGATGGGGAGTAACCACCGTCTCAAGTTGTGTTGCCTGCGTCTTTTGGGGACCAGGTGGAAGATCAGGAGCTGAGCCTGAAACCCCTTAAACACAGGCTTCTTCCACCTTCTTCTCGCGTGACACATCTACGGATGCAGCTCTTGGACTCCAAATAGACCGATGGCAGCCAGTCCTGAAGCTCTACGGTAGAGACACTTATTGAGGGTGGAGGGGTTAGGACTGAGGGTGAACTTTGCACTGCATCCCAGCCGCATGACGCAAAGAACCGTGCCCGGAGGCCCGTGGCCATTTAAAGCGTCCATCGGGGGCTTGACTCCGTCGAGCAGGGTATGCTTCTGCGCCTTGAGGGTTGAGGGATGTTGAGGGTCGGCTTGGGGGGTCGATGATTCCAAGTTTGGGGAGATGCAAGAGGGGGTGCCTTCTAGGGGCGGAGAGTTTGAGGTTTGGAGGCTTTGCTGCGCTGTCGCATCTCATCTTGCTCCCATAACTCTCAACCCTAGTCCAAGGCGGGTTCAGACGAAGACTGCCCTGGGCTTGACTGCTCACCCATTGACCTTCCGAGGCTTAGGGGAAGTTACCCAGCTCCAGGATGGCACAGTTGGAGGGCCGCGGAGGGGATCAAACCGGTGCGCAGGGCTGCTAGAAGGACAAAGGCAAACCGTAAACTCAGTCCTGGGAGTCCTGATTTACATCACTCCTTTAGGGATCAACCTTGCAGTTGCCCGACCGAGATTTATTCCGGCCGCGACCGAATTTTGTTCCATTATACTGCCGCAGCACATCTTAATCGGCTTGGCGCCCACCTGCGCCATTGAAACCCCCAACCTCCTGCCTCATCGCTGACCCAACGGCTCGGGGCCACCGCCTTCACGTCGCAGGCGAAGCCCGAGTACGCACCACTTTGTGGAACTGCCTTCGGGAACTCGGTCTTCGTGTTGACACTTAATTGAGGGGCATAGGGGGTCTATCTTGTCATAATTGCCATATGTCTTCTTCGGTAGCATACTGTTCATGTGTCTCGTATACGATCAGGATTGGCATGAAAGGTAAGCACATGTTGCAAACATCTTACAAGCCCCTTATTTGCGTGTCGAAGAAGAACGTCCGGTGCGTTGTCTGTTACGCACATGTTGCCAACAAGCGAGCAGACCCGATGTTTCTCTTAGCAACAACAACTGTGAACCACCAAAGCGTAAACTATCATAACACTAAGCAGGTACACTTGGATGACCAATCCAGTCTTCTCCCATTGCACTGTTGCTCCGTTGCGTCAAGAAGGTGAAATCGGCCTGTCACCCCTCCTGCGCCGTTCCACAAAGTGTTGTTTCGCTGTTCTTCTCGGAAGAGAGAACCACTCCATTAGCAGTCATGCAAGCATCCATGCCAGCACAGGGAAGCTTCTCAAAAATCATCTCGACAGTGTCGCTGTTCTGTACTCCAGCAAGCATGAAAATCTAGTTCAGAACGAATCACGGGAGCTTCTCTTGAAAAAACCCAACAGCAACAGCAACAACAGCAACAGCAACAGCAACAACAATAACTACCACAACCCCCACCCAAATAGCCGAAGCCCTAAATTCCGCGAACCTGCCAGGAGGTTCCGCCGCCTGAATACAGCTGGGTCTGGGTCATTCGCTACTTTATGCAAATATTTTGGCTGACAGCTACCTGCTAACTGCATCAGGTCTATGATGATCTATGACCCTCACTTGTTGTCTGCGACCCACACCGATGAAGACCTACACTGCACAAGCCATGAAACACAAGCCATGCAACACTGCAAAAAACGCATGCTTACAAGGGTGAAGAGCTTTCGTTGTGGATCCTTGGCGGACTCAGGAACAGAGCAAGACAGTTCGTTCAGAATTTTGGCCCGATGCCGAACATCCTGAAACAAAAAACAGGCCGCTCGAAAGCAAGCACGGCATCCCCATCTGTATCACCGTGCACCTTTGCGATGCACACGCGCTCCACGCCAGAATCCCGACCCCCCCAGGCACTTGAGGGCTCCCAAACCCTCAACCCTCAACCCTCAACCCTCAACCCTCAACCCTCAACCCTCAACCCTCAACCCTCAACCCTAAACCCTAAACCCTAAACCCTAAACCTCGAAGAATCGCTGGGACCCCCGGCTTGGCTTCTTAAGGAGGCAGCCCTGCTCCTTGGTCCAGGTGAAGGCTGCCTCAGCTTCGGGAGCAGCGAATTTCAGGGACCCTTGTTTAGGGTTTGGGGTTTAGGGTTTAGGGTTTAGGGTTTAGGGTTTAGGGTTTAGGATATAGGGCTTAGGGGTTTGGAGTTTAGGGTTTATGCAAGCGGTCCCAAGGACAATCCAGAAGCAAAATCGCTTGTAGAGTTTCGGGTTTAGGGCTTAGGGTTTCGGGCCTTTAGGATTTAGGGGAGCTCGGGTGGGGCGGGGGGGGGGGGGGGGAGGGATCGGGCAGTAGGATTCAGGGTCCCTTCTATAGTTCCCCCCCCAAGCCGAAACCAGAAGGCCCGAGGCAGTAAGGCACCTGGAAATTCGAAGCCCTAGACTGCAACTCGAAGAAAAACTGTATGAAGTCGCTTGATCCATTGTAGGTCAAGTAACGGACACGGAGTTGTGCCGGCGAGGGGGGGGGGGGGGGGGGGGGGAAAATGACAAGACCAAACCCCAAATCCTGAACTGGGGGTAGCGCCTCGATTCTGAGGTTCAGCTTTTGGAGTTAGGGTACATCTGCCAGAATCTGAGCTAACTTGTGCAGTGCAAACCGGCTGCAAATTTTTTCTGGGTGCAGGCTCGCTGGCAGTGTGCACCTGAACTTTCAGTCGCGTTGGATGCAGGATTTGCTTAAAAGGTCCAATCCGTCTAGGTTTCCTACCCGAACTTAGCGACTGGACAGATTGGATGCCCCAGCCGAAGCATGAACTCCGACGCCTCAATCCTCAAAGCCTACACCATTTTGTCTTCCAAGTCTTGGCAGGCTTGGGCTACATTCTCGGAATCTGGGAAGTCCCAGGGCACTCGACTGCTGGCCGTCGTCCTCCTGAACCTCCGTGCCACCATGGAGATGAAAGTTGACGTTGGCGGACTGCCTTTGCGAGAGGAGAAAAAAAAAAGAAGGCGTACTCCAACCGTCCATCTCAAGTATTGTTGAGCCGTAGCTTGGATCCATGGATCAACATCGGGCAACTATGCAAACACAGTTTTGGGATCCCGGTCGGTGTGTGCGCCAAATCATGTTCCATGGTCGAAGGGATGCCCCCAAAATCCCAAGTTGGAACTGCCCGACCGAGAGCTCCCAAGTCGCGCGTCGCACTGGTGCCTTTCTTGCCACTGGAGCAGCGCCTGATTTCCAAGCTCAAGGCTCCAAACTGGGGAAGAGGCTGAGGGCCCACAGGACTTACTTGTGGGGTTGCCCTCGGCCATTGCAGAGGTCGGCGTTCATTCAACTGTTTCTAAATAGTGTTGTCGCCTGGATTTACCGACCAAACAGGAATTTTTACAAAACACTGATTAGTTCCCAGAGGTCGAGACGTCGGGGCTTTAAAAAGCGTAGTTCAGAAGCTATTGCCCGGACGACTGGCTTCGCAGAAAGCACCAGACAACACCATGCTGGAGTTTATACACCAGCTTAGTTCCAAGTTACCACTGCACTCTACGCTCAAAAACACGACCTTACCTTTGACCGCGCCTCCATCTCATCACGCTTCTTCAAGAAGTCCTTGTGCTGTGCAATCAGTTTCTGGTGGTAGTCGTTGGCCGCCCTTGGATGGTATTCGACAGACCCTGTGCATGAGAGATATCATACAGACACGAGGGGAATGGAAGAGCGAGACGCAGGCAGAGAGTTAGGGAGAGGAGAAGGAAAGAGAGAAAATCTGAAATACTAGAGGTAAAGAAAGCGAGCGAGAGCGAGAGAGTGCGAGAGAGCGCGGAAGAGAAGGAGATGCAGAAACAGGTACAGCAGAAAGCTCGGCAAGAGACGGCGCGACAGAGAGAGAAAGAGAGAGCAAGCGAGACACACCACACCGACAGGACGGAGACGAAACGAGAGAGAGAGACAGAAAACACAAAATACGGCAACAATGACAGCGATAGTCAGAGAGAGAGAGAGGGGAGGGCTAGGGGAGGGAGGGGGGACATCGACTGATAGCCCAAAGGGGGAATGTCAACCCGAAAAGACCCTAAAAATGCAAAGCTGGAGCCAAGGGTCTGGATTTTTTTTGCGCAAGCTTCCTGCTCCCCAGTCCGTTCCAGGGGCACCTGGTGCTCCATGAGCATGTTAAGATTCTTACACCTGTCTCGGCTTCCTCTTCACTTTCTGTCCGGAAATCTAGACGTGGTATGTGGAGTATGCGACCCCGAAGTATCCTCTGGTACAACCCTAATCTCGCGAAAACCTTCCAGAAAGGCTACAACGGATTGTAATCCCTGACGTTGTCTGTTGGCATTCGTTGCGCCAGCTTAACCGTGCCTCCCGAAACAACATGGGAAAATTAGGGGGGGATACCCTTTTTGGGGGTTCCACCAAATAGGAGTCTAGTATATGAGGGGTGTCCATTATTTGGAGACCCTTAAGTTGCTTAAACATGTTGGCATCTACAGTTCCTGACAATTCAAAGGCGGAGTCGCGTCGATCTCCCCCGAACCCTGTGTTCTGGCACGCGTGCTGCTTGCGGCACCCATTTGTGGTGCATGACCGACTTCGAGATGAAGTGGCCTGCGACACGGTCTGTGCAAACCTAAACCCTAAAACCCTGAACCCTAAGTTCCAGGGTTTTAGGATTCCATGGACCTGGGGGAGCTGGTTCTACTCCCCGATCCCCTGAGCTTTCACCCGACCAGCCTTAATGCAAGCCTGCGGCTTGGGGGTTTGCCCGCGCCGAGTTCCCCAAACGGGGGGCCAAGTTGGCCCGTTTTTTTGGTGCCGCAGACGAGAGGACTTTAAGCCGACATGGAACCCAGATCTTGGGACCACAGGGAACCCTAAACCCCCCCCCAACCCCCCTAAACCCCCCTAAACCCCCCTAAACCCCCCTAAACCCCCCTAAACCCCCCTAAACCCCCCCAAACCCCCCCAAACCCCCCTAAACCCCCCTAAACCCCCCTAACCCCAAACCCCCCCCCACTAAAACGCCCACCGCCTGGAACCGCCGGCTCGGTATGTTCTGGCACCCAGTGACCTCTCCATATGATGGTCTTCGAGACCACTGAACTGGCTTGTTGGGTTTTCGGAGTTTCTTTTGGGTTGGCTTGGGGATCATTTAGGAGGTATGGAGGGCGAAGGATGTTCGTGTGATTCAGGATTCCATTTCATGCGGGCAGCGGTGAAATCGTGGATGCAGATCACGTGGAGGTCATACACTTACCGCACCGCCCGCATAATATGGACGCTAGGAAGCTGCAACGACGTGCAGCGAGATTCGGAAAGTTTCGCCTTTACAGGAGATTCCGCAACGAAGCGGCCTTGCTTTCTGTGGAAAGAGCTCCTTTTCTGGGTGTTGGGTCTGGGATTCGATCAGGTATTGCTCTTATTCTTCTTCTTCTTCTTCTTCTTCTTCTTCTTCTTCTTCTTCTTCTTCTTCTTCTTCTTCTTCTTCTTCTTCTTCTTCTTCTTCTTCTTCTTCTTCTTCTTCTTCTTCTTCTTCTTCTTCTTCTTCTTCTTTCTTCTTCTTCTTCTTCTTCTTCTTCTTCTTCTTCTTCTTCTTCTTCTTCTTCTTCTTCTTCTTCTTCTTCTTCTTCTTCTTCTTCTTCTTCTTCTTCTTCTTCTTCTTCTTCTTCTTCTTCTTCTTCTTCTTCTGGGCTTGAGGGCCCGAGGGCCCCCGCGCGCTAGCGTGCCCGAAGTGCCGGGCTCATGTGAAACCCCCAGCGTAGGTGCATTGAGGGCTGGGCGCACAACACCAACAAACAGTGTGTTTGTGTGCGTGTGTGTGTGTGTGTGTCTCTCTCTCTCTCTCTCTCCGCTTCTTCCTCTTCAGCGAAGAGGCCCCGGGAAGGAGTAGACAGATGGGTGTGATGCTGAACGTTCGGCGCGTCTCTATGGCGCCATCTCCCAGCCCCTAGTAACCAGCTGCCGCAGACAGGAGCTACGCTTGACGGATATGCCGAGCTGCGAGGTTGCATTCACGGTGAGCACATGTGTTTGTTCCCTCCGGTTTTTTAACAAGGTCAGGGACTGGTCTCTCGTTCTCTATCTCTCTCTGTCTCCCTCCCTTCCTCCCTCCCTCCCTCCCCACAGACCTGGTAGCATGCCAACAACAATGCAGAAGCCAACTCTTTGAATCATGGATCGAGCCTCCATCCGATTCGTTGCCAAAGACCCAGAACTTTCCCTTCATGATCTTTTCTGGCTGCCGCGGCACCCAAACCGATTCCTTGCACGGAATGCCGTACAATCTGGTCACAGACTCTCGTTCCAGGGCACCTTCGAAGCCTTCAGCCTTGCCCCGTGGAGCAGAAGACGCTCTCCCTCAGCCCTTCCCAGAACCTGGCAAAGCCTGATGTGCCTGATACTCATACTGCGGACATGTGAACTCCCAAGATGTTCTTCAAACCCGGTACCAACCAAAAAACGAATCCCATTATTCCTTTGTACTTAAATGTACTATTGCTATTTATTTCATTTTGTATTAACTACCCCCCACGACCGCCCACTGCCCTTAAAGGCCCCCTCAGTCCAGGCGCATTGACCCAGTAGGCGATGCGCTGCTTGGCACCGGGCATGGGCCCCGAGTCACATCGGGGCAGCTGGAAGTGATCCCAGGTGTCCTGGGATTTCAATTTAAACAAACTGCTCGCGTTTTTTTTCACGGCACAAAAAGAAGTCCATCTCAGCGTTTTTTCTAAGAGGTGGGGCGCGCTGTGTCAGCTAAGTCAGCGAGCGGGGTGTGGAAAAGCCCTCATTTCTGAATGTTTGGGTAGGGGGGGTGGATTCGCATGTTTTTGGGAGCCCCTCAAGCGCCTAAGATCTCGATCAGAACTCGCTTTTAGCCTTCATTGTCTTGCATGGCCTTGGGGGTACTGCTGGTGTAGGGAAACAGTTTTGCTAGACACTGCCTTTCAACATCACGGCTGCGACATAGTGTGCGACCCACAAGAAGGCAACCGTGGCAGCAAGGAATCAACAACTCTGAAGCTCCTGGTTCCTTTAGCAGACTCCCAAAACGCCGGCGCAGCAACCGAAATCGGAGCCCTGCACGCGCCGGCATTCCTTTTCTTTAAAGCCAGGAAAGCGAGCACACGGCTCAAACCTAGGGTGTCGGCAGAGTCCATGCCTACTTGCGCCAAGCCCGTTTTGCGGCTTCTGCCAATGCCGCAGCATGCAGCAGCTGGTGTGAATGGGAGGTTGCTCGTGCCTTCATATACTACAACTGAACCCGTCATTTTCACAGCAGGGTATAGAGAGAAAGGGTGGGATCTGCCTAACATGAACCCTCAGGCTACAAAAAGCACCGGTTCATCCCTTAAACACTTCAAATTACAAACAGCTCTCCTTCATCCCGAACGCCGAAACATGAATTGTGGTCCCTTTGGCCGCGTTAGAACCGGGAACCCAAGAAGTGACCATTCCTTGGAGAACATCCGAAACCTGCAGAAGGCGAAACCAAAACCCCAACACCCAAAACCCCCAACACCCCAAAACCCCCAAAACCCCGAAACCCCCAATACCCCCAGACCCCCCGACACCCCAGACCCCCAGAAACCCCAAAACCCCAAACCCCCAGACCCCCAGAAACCCCAAAACCCCAAAACCCCAAAAACCCAGCCCGGGCACAGCAATCCACCCTCCGTGGGGATCGACGTGCCCCAGGTTCGGCAGAAAGAGCCCGAGGAGGTTCCAGGGATTGGCCTGTGAGGTTATAGGGTTTCGGGTTTAGGGTTTAGGGTTTAGGGTTAGGGTATGTGAGTGTTCTAAACTCAATCATTGCCCCTCATATAGGCATGTTGCAGTAATGGGGCCCTTACTTAAAACAAAAACCTAAGGGGTTCTTCCTCGCGTGCAGCAGTCCTGAATCGCAACCCATGTAAAAACCCCTAGCCCTCCGCCACAGGAAGTCTGAGTACCCAGCAAAGGACGAAGCCGAAGCCTCCCCGCCCATTCTCCCGAACGAGAAAAGTACCGCGATTCTGAAGTTCGCTCGCTTGAGGTGCAGTGAAGGCATGGTAAACAGCAAACACCAATGATTCTGAAAGCAATCCCCCCCCCCCCGCCCCCGGGCCCTCTACAAACAAGGGAACATCGGGGGTTTGCATCAACGCCTCGGCCCAAAGTTATGGAGGGAAAAAGGTCGCCATAACCCCCACCCCCAGCAAGCCTAAACACGTTCAAGGGCAGACCTGTCCGAAAAGTGTGGCATCCTCCAACTTTTCAACTTACACAAGCCCCCCGCCTGCTTCAAAGGGAGGCCTGTAGTCGCAACCCCAGCAAGCAGGAGGCAGCCGGAGAGAACCAAGCAGAGCCTGCAAAGACGGCCGTCAGAATTGGCGATAACTTTCCATCGCTTGTTGCGGCTACCACACCAAGTGCACGGATATCAGCGGCGAATCGACTTGAACTGTTACGAAAGAAACAACAGCGTCGTCCGTAGCACGACTACAACTCCAACCTGCAGGTTCTGGCCCTTTCACACTTGCACCTTCCGTTACAAGGCCTGTCAAGCCCCAAGAGAACATTGCAGAAATTCAAGCTTTGTCCTACTGAGTTTTCGTGTTTGGGGCTGAGTCTGCTGCGCGATCTCGTGACCGCGCTTGCGCAAGCCTGTCTGTCGGCAACAAGTTCTGAGGTTTCCGTTGGCACCCTGAGGTCGCTTTCACCACCAGCTCAGATGCAATTCATCAGATGCAATCCTGCACCCACAGGCCGCCAAGGCTGCCCTTGTCGAGAGGCGTCAAGGACGACCATGCCAGAACTCCCCCAACACACCAACAGTTCGGGTTTGGTTTCACGGTTTAGGGTTTAGGGTTTAGGGTTTAGGGTTTCGAGGGCTGTGGGAACTTCGGATCCCACCTGTGAAGGGGCACAAGCGGCAGCCTGGCCTCAAATGTGGGAAAAGACTTGTGGGTGAAGGGGGGCATTCGGCCATGTATTGCGGTTTCTAAGCATAGCTGTGCCTCTTTGAACGTGCCTATGCTTGAATTATGGGGCAGGTATGGCGGTCGCAGGCATGCTATCGACGAACGGTTCAGACTCCTGTCCCTCCGTTAAGTAGGTTATCTCCGCTCACTTTCTACTCAGAGCGACTCATGAGCCTTCAACGACGGTTGAGCCTAATCCCCGAGCCCCCGAAGGCAAGATGGGCACGGATTGGAGTGGAAACCCCAACCCTCGGGGTTCCAATCTTATACCAGAAAGTAAGAATCTGGAAGCAAGATCAGTTCAGGAGAATCCGATTTCAGCTTCGGTCTGAAACGGAGGTTGAGACACACATGCGCGGAATCCAATCTGACATCAGAGCTGTCCGCGGCTAACACACTCCCGAGAGAAAAATGAACAAAGACACCTCAAAAGCACACACAGGCAAACCAACAAAAACAGACTGTAAACCCCAACCCCCAATCTCTGACACTTTTCAGCCGGGCGGCAGTTAGCACTGGTGGAGGGGCCAGTCCTCCCAGACTTCCTCGAGGACTATCCCTGGAGAGCCCTGAAAAAACCTTCGTTTTTTCTGACTCTGGGTGCCTTCGTGCGTATGACACCCATAAGTTTAGATTGGAAGAATGGAAGCTTTCAAACTGACCTTAAGAGCAACGCAGGTACTTCGCTTATGGACTCCGCTTTCTGCTCCCGTTCCAGACCCTTCAACCCGACAGTCCTTCAAGCAGCACGCTTTCCTCGGATGCTCCGCCTTGTTCCGTGTCCGCAAGGTCCAGGAACAGAGAACGCCTGCCAAGACCCGGCTTGAAGTTTTAAGGCCGCAAGACTCGGGGAACCTAATGGCCACTCGTTTCCATGACAAGAAGCTTTCCACTGATTGAGGGCTTCGTACTGGCAGAGGTAAGGATGTTTAGAGATTGGGTGCCTGCCTAGGGTCTAGAGCTTTACGAGTTGAGGAAGATACTGTACGGGTCCAACACAGCATGTGCATCAGGGGCCTGCCAGTACCGTCGACGGTGATTTTTGAGACCCGCTGATCAGGCATGGCGTTCGCAGGCCGGAACTCGGAAAGTCCAACCCCAACACTTGGAACACATTCAAATGTGGCAGTGCCCATCGCTCACTGCTGCTGTAACCGAAGTCTGATGTGCGATGTGCCTTTTGGACGCGTGGCATGCACGATCATCCAGGCCTTCTGGCTCTGTGCTTCAGGCTCTACTTAGAAATTGTCAATCAGGAACATGTGGCTTCGAACCAAGCGCTGCCGAGGGAAGCCTGGAATCGGAACACACAAAGACCCGAATCCCCCAACAACGTCTCTCTCTCTCTCTCTCCCTCCCTCTCTCTCTCTCTCTCTCTCTCTCTCTCTCTCTCTCTCTCTCTCTCTCTCTCTTGGCACCTAGAAGAACTTCCCTAACAACTTTTGCGATGGAACTCGTGAAAGGCAGTTGTCTATGACTAGGTCCTGGCCTAAATTCTCACTCTTTGCCCTGATTCTCCATCCTCGTCGCTCCCGGCCAAGCAGGAGGTCGCGCAATCCGACGACCGAGGACCTCCGAGGCCAAGGTTTGGAGGATTGGAGACTTCGGTCTTACAAAGGCGGTTCGGTGTTTGGAGTCATTTTGGACCGCACTTATTTCTGGGGTCCTCTAGAAAAAGCTTCCATTACGGGCCTTCGGTTGTGCATCTGCCTTTAACCGAAAATTTTCAGAGCATGACCACAACTCCTTTCAACTGGCCAATGTCAGAAGTTCCCTTCTACAGCACCCCATGAAAATCTCCTCTTTCATGTACTGGCTCGCTTCAAGGTTGAAATCCTCAAGTACAGCCCACGCTTTGCAAGACCCCGGAAGGGGGAACCCAGACACCCCAGCCAAGCCGAAATCAAGCCGGTAAGGACACAAGCTGTGGCGGAGGCCTCGCGACACCTTGAAGCCTTCAACCCCTCAACCTCGCAAAGCGTAACCCCAACCAAGGCCTTCCCTTCCTAAGCCCTCACTCAACCTCTAAACTCCTGAATGACTGAACCACCCCTTCCGTCCCCATTCCTCTACACGCACTCAACTCACCCTTACTTACCTCCCAAGACCTTCCCTGCCTACTCAACCATCAACCCTCTTGTGTCTTCTTCCTCTCGTGCTCACGGCTCGGAACTTCTGCTCCGAACAACCAAAAGCACCCAAGGGGGCGGAGGCATGCAGACAGACGGAGGGTGAGTTGCTTCTCCTCCGTGGCCCTCATGCGGCCACCAAGGCTGCAGATGGCTGATATGCCGCATCCCAGAGACTCCAATATCCCTTAATTCAGGAAGATACCTTAAATTATAATAGGATCCCTAATATGATTTAAGGTATAATCCTTAATTAAGGGATATTGGAGTCTCTGGGCAGTTGACCCGCTGCAGGTCTCTCTCTCAATCTACGAGGTTGAGCTGCATCGCGGAGGCGAATTCGCACCGAAGGTGCAACAAACTGAGCGAAGATCTTTAGCTTGGCTCTTAGCCCTTAGCACCCAAACAATCTCTCAATGCACACCCATGGCCCATGGACGGCGAAGGACATGTGGCCAAGAACCAGGAAGAGCCGATGTACAGGCCCTGTAATCTTCGCCTCCCCGTCGCTCCAGGCACCATACACCAGCCACACCCTTCCCTGCGCATGGGGAGGGCTTTAAGGGCTTCGTGCTTGGAGGACGGCAATTATGGAAATCGCGGAACGCCCCTCGGCTGTCCGAGCAAGAAAGGTTCAAACAGCTGTGGATCCCAAGCCGCAACTTTTGCCAGCTCTTACTGACTTAGTTTATTTCAGCAATCGTCACAAGAAGAAGTTTAGCGCAGGGTTCCGCAGCTATGCTACTAAACGATATGATGCAACTCATCGAAGGCAGGAGCTTCAGTTGCTGCTCAACATCCTCCAGAAGGTGGAAAGCAGAGCTGACTGCTGAGCCGTGCTGTCCGGCGCGGTCTGCCGTCGACGGATGACCTGGCAAAGCTGAAGCCCACCAGCCCCCCCTCGCAACTGATTCTGAAAAAGCTCTGAATGTAGTGTACAGAGACTCTAAAGTCTTGAGGACCTGTCATCCATGCTCGGAATCTCATCTGGATTTGAAGCGGCAACGCGGCCACGCATCCAGAAGCCGGTTGAGACTGGGATCCATGGCCATACAGCCCCGGGAGCTCGCAATACTCGCGTTAACGAATGGGGAAAAAAAGCAGGGTTTCAGGGGTCCTGGATTTTTGATGCCCCTTTTTCTGTGCGGGCGGGAAACCTTTGTAGTTTCATGGGCAAACTACTGCTTCTTCATGCCTCTTCTATATATATATATATATATATATATATAGCAGGAAACCTCTCGTTCCATTGTGTTTTTACTCGAAACGCATACGGCTGCCTCTGTATTTGCAGAGAAAACGTGTCGTTCACAGATGTTTTAGGAAAAAATGGGTAATTCATGTTCCAACTATTTTCCAGGTCAAGAGGATATAGTTCTTTGTCGGATAACCCGCGTAAGGGCCACCACTCGCCCACACCTGCTGTCGACAGGAACAGTTGCCTGTCTTGTGCCCTGAGTGTTGTACTGCCTGAGAGCTGAGAACTGCACGTCTTGTCTAGAACACGTCGCGTCGCGTAATGCGTGCCATTTTGTCTTCAAACTCTAGCAACCCCACCTGTCGGGTGGGGAAGAAGGGAGTAGAAAAATCCGCCCTGGGTTTCAGGGAGTCCCCAAGCCCGTGGAAAACCCTTATTCGCAGTGAAGCCCCGATCAATGAGTTGCAACTGCTGCGCTGACATGACATCACGTCCCCAAACACGGACAGTGCAAGACTAGACCCCGAACGACCTTCCCCCGGTTTCGCCACATCAAGCTCATCAGGCCCTGAAATCCTTTCGGCCCGAAAACAGGGGCCACACACGGACCATAAAGGAGCACAAGGGATGTTGGGAAACATCCTACTTTCGGGCACAATGGCAACCCGCAGTGGTCCGGGAGCTTGCTTGCCGGTGTTGCCGCATCTTGCATTCACTACCCTACTGTACTCCTCTAACTGTCTGGCCTAGCCCTTCATCGCACCTCATCTTCCCATGCAGGGTACACGTGCTGTAACAATGCGCATTTCAGATGGAAGGAACCATGTGTGCCGATTGGCAAGCTGTTGTGGTTGCTGCAAAATCGATGAAGCCTCAAAAGCCGAACAAAAGGCCCTTAGTTGAAGCCCACAGTCCAAAAAGCGCACCTCAGCTTTGAGTCTCTTTGGCGACTCCTCGACTTCCTGGAGAGCAGGTGCCACTTGCTTTAAGCTTGGGCCTGGTGTTCAGGGGGTTACGGTTTAGGGTTTAGGGTTTAGGGTTTAGGGTTTAGGGTTTAGGGTTTAGGGTTTAGGGTTTAGGGTTTAGGGTTTAGGGTTTAGGGTTTAGGGTTTAGGGTTTAGGGTTTAGGGTTTAGGGTTTAGGGTTTAGGGTTTAGGGACCATGACACAGGTTGCTGTCCTTGAGGAATGCCTTCAAGCGAGCTTCAGACACATCGTGTAGAAGCTTGTTCGGCGGGAGTGTATCCACCATATCTGCCATGGCTTCATCTGGCATGGTGCTTGAGCAGAAGGACCTCCGGGTGTACGGCGAGCATGTTGGAGACTCGGCCCACCAATCGTCTGGGCATCTGGGAGACGGCGCCATCTCCAAGCGCCTGTCCTCTTGAGGTTTTTGCTTGCCTTCACTAACACTTTGTTTGGTTTGTGCTTGGGGCAGGGGAGGTGGTGTCCCATGCTCTTTAGATAAAAACAACCTTGTTTCTGAAGAAGACTCAGATCCTTCCGATTCAGGGGGCAGGATGTCATCGACTGGTTGCTAAGAGCTTCCACATCGAGCCCCGCCACTGCCGGCTTGCAGGGACGCGGCATGCGTGCGAGGGTCTCGAATGTGCTTTGGCGACGCATGGCTCAAGGGAACCAGCAGCTGCAGGGTTTGCCAGAAACTGCCGGTCCTTCCTCTCGAGCTCTTTTTAAGCCGAAAAACTGCGAAAGGCAAGACGGGTGACTGGGGTCTTGGGTATTGAGACAGGCGCAGGTCGGGTTTGCTGGGGTGCAAACAAAAGGAGGGAGGGAGCGGGCAGACATAATGTTGCTGGGCATTATTACTGTCGGGTCTGCAAGTAGAGCTGTGGATTTGCCATGCTTTCGCCGCACCTGTCTGCAACGTCCCCGCGGCGCAGGGAGATCTCACACGTACTCGAAGTCAGCCGAGCCAGGTGGTGGGAAGCCTGCCACATGACATCTAATGTCAGACGAGTGCAGACAAGTCAAGGTCTGCATGCCGCGGTTGCACCTCACCGCGCCGCCTGAAATCTGGGTTCAAAAGCCCAAGTCCTTACTCCTAAATCCGCTATTCCTCCCCCTCCCCGCACAACGTTCAACCCTAACCCGTGACGCAGGTGTTAGGACTTTGGGGGTTTGGGGCTTCTTCACTTAAGCATTTATAGGCCCTGAACTCGGACACCTCAACCTGCCTCTGGCTGGGGCGCGCGTCGGTGAAGCAACGTCACAGCTGCAGCCTCCGGTGCCAGCCATGCTGCGCAGCAAAGGCCTTAGCAAGATGCTAAGATGCGGAGGAGAGCCACCCTTAAACTGCAAATGCTCCCCTGGAACGCTGCAGCACAAAAACATACAAGGTCCCTTTTTGACCTCTTTGTGTGTGGACCCTTGAGCAACGTCTTCTTGCCGTCTTGATGAAGATGATCGGGCTGAGAGCTAGGGTCCTCACCAATGCCACCAAGGCCACCACCTTGCATCTTTCAAATGCGGAGAAAACAACGCCCTGAATGAAGAACCCCAAACCCTCTAACTGAGACCCAGTGCACTGAATTCTGAACCCTATAGCCCAGCCACTCACCACGTAGGCGCCCCCCTCGGGTGCCCAGTGCCCTGGCGCAGGCGCGCAGGACGCGCGGAGGAGGCGCCGTGCGCAAAGCCTTGGTGGACTTGTTTGATTTCCGGTTGTATATATACAAATATGCCTATACATGCAAGCATACATGCAAATGCATGTGTATGTGCGCGCATTGGCAACTGCATGTCTATGTGTGTATGTGTACATGTATATATCTATATATATATATATATATGGTGGCACCCAGAGAGCTAAACCAAAACTACCATACCAAAACAACATATCAGGGTGCACGTGAGAGCTACCCAGATGGCTCAGTTAAAGTCACATGTCATGAGACGAGGCTGCAAAAAATCACTGGGGTGTAGTTTGCACGTGAATGTCCCAGTAGCTGTCCTTCATTACCCTCAGTGTGGGTGCGGGTGCAGTTCTATCGTGTCAAAAACTCATCTACCAATACAATACAACGGCTGTGTCTTTTTCTCCTGAGCTCGCATGGAACGCTGCTCAGGCAAGCAAGTAGCTTTGTTCTTTTGAACAAAATTAGCGTTTACCCTGGCCCTAGCACACGGAACGTGTATGCTATGAGTTGCTCATAGGGCCAGCGGGAGAAAGGGCAAGTATCTTCGATTGGTACCAACACAAACAATGGACAATGTCAAAGGCTTAGGACTTGGGTAAATCTGCCTCCTTGAACATTCAGAAACAGTCTGCAGATATGTATCACCTTTTACATTTTCGTGCCCTTAACTTCGAAGAGTGTGTATCATCTGCAAGTGCTTTATCGTAGACAGATGTGCGTTCATGTCGTCACGGAGAAGTCGGAATGAACATTTTGTTGGATCTGGCAGATGGGCGCCTTTCGAAGAACATGTGCGTGCGTGCGTGCGTGCATGAGGGCGTGCGTGCGTGAGTGCGTGCGTGCGTGCGTGCGCGCGCGGGTGTGTGTGTGTGTGTGTGTGTGTGTGTGTGTGTGTGTGTGTGTGTGTGTGTGTGTGTGTGTGTGTGTGTGGTGTGTGTGTGTGTGTGGTGTGTGTGTGTGTGTGGTGTGTGTGTGGTGTGTGTGTGTGTGTGTGTGTGTGTGTGTGTGTGTGTGTGTGTGGTGTGTGTGGTGTGTGTGTGTGTGTGTGTGTGTGTGTCTGCTGGTCTGTGTGTGGGTGTGTGTGTGTGTGTGTGTGTGTTGTGGTGTGTGGTGTGTTGTGGTGTGTGGTGCGTCGTGGTGTGTGGTGTGTCGTGGTGTGTGGTGTGTTGTGGCGTGTGGTGTGTTGTGGTGTTGTGTTGTGGTGTGTGGTGCGTTGTGGTGTGTGTGTGTGGGTGTGTGTGTGTGTGTGTGTGTGTGTGTGTGTGTGTGTGTGATGTTGTGGTGTGTGGTGTGGTGTGTTGTGGTGTGTGGTGTGTTGTGGTGTGTGTGTGGTGTGTGTGTGTGTGTGTGTGTGTGTGTGTGTGTGGTGTGTGTGTGTTGCGGGTGGGTGCGTGCGTGCGTGCGTGCGTGCGTGCGTGCGTGCGTGTGCGTGCGTGCGTGCGGCGTGGTGGCGTGAGTGCCTGGCGTGCCTGCGTGCCTGCGTGCCTGCGTGCCTGCGTGCCTGCCGGCCTGCTGCTGCTGCTTGTGCGTGCTGCGTGCCTGCGTGCCTGCGTGCCTGCGTGCCTGCGTGCCTGCGTGCCTGCGTGCCTGCGTGCCTGCGTGCCTGCGTGCCTGCGTGCCTGCGTGCCTGCGTGCCTGCGTGCCTGCGTGCCTGCGTGCCTGCGTGCCTGCGTGCGTGCGTGCGTGCATGCGTGCGTACGGGCGGGCGGGCGGGCGGGCGGGCGGGCGGGTGGGTGGGTGGGTGGGTGCACCGGTGGGTGGGCGTGTGTGTCTTCGTGTCTTCGTATCTTCGGGTCTTCGGGTCTTCGTGTCTTTGTGTCTTTGTGTTCTGTGTTTGTGTGGTTCTGTGTTTATGTGGTCATGTCATGTGTTCGTGTGGTTGCGTGCCGGTGTGTTGGTGTGTTCGTGTGTTGGCGCGTGGGTGTGTTGGCGTGTTGGTGTGTTGGTGTGTTGGTGTGTTGGTGTCTGTGGTGCATGTGCATGTGCATGTGCATGTGCATGTGCATGTGTGTGTGTGTGCGTGTTAATGTGAGCATGCACGCATGCCATGTAAGATGAAAGGTACAGATATAGAAGCTAATGTATGAAACATGGTGGTCTACTTATACAGACAGGAAAAAAGCGGATAAATAGATAATTAGAAAGATAAATAGACTGATAGAAGATGTTAAGCGTATATATACACCTTCAGAATTACTTTTGCGTTTAGTTGTAGCTCGGTGGGTTGTCTACTCAGTCTCTTCTACAGAGACTCAGCGAAACAACTGCTATCGGGGGGTTAGGCGCAACGGCTTTCTGGTGGTACAGCTCAGACTTTCGGGCCGTACGAGTAGATTCCAAAATAAGCTCCTTTGCTGTGAAGTGGCAGCATGCTGCCTGAACAAAGCGATGTGGAACTTGATGCAAGTGACTCTCTGCCCAGGTTTTGCAAGTTGACTACGACCAAGCAAGCTGAGGCCTAGGTGCCGTTTCTGGTCTGTAGGCTGCGAGGAATACGATTCCCTCAATCTCAATCCCACACCGAAAACTCCAGAACCTGAAGCCCGAAGTCTTGTAGCGAAATCCTCCGCTTCAGAGATGCCTTGTCAAGGAGCATTCCGTCTTCAGCCACCCGGACCTCCTCCTCCTGGCTAAGGCCTCAAGGAAGCGCTTTACATTCGGATCTGGAATGATATCCCGAACCCCCCCACCCGAGCCGCACGAACCCTAAACCCTCGACGAGCTTTCGAGCCTAAGCCCTTCTGGTGGACGCCGTCCTCTCACAAGGAGCCCCCTAAACCCTAAACCCTAAACCCTAAACCCTAAACCCTAAACCCTAAACCTTGAGGATCCTGGCATGGCAGCAGCTGGGCATCATAGTCGGGGGTCACCTTTGTGGAAAGCACGCTGGACAAGTCTGCCAGGAGCCTTCCGGCGGTTGAAGCAGATCAATGGAGCAGAATTGTACATCTTGGCATACCTGTCTAGGTTTGTACCTTGACCCCAAAACCCACACCCGGCTACCAGTACTCGTCTAGACCCCGAAGACTCCAGCAAGAAGACATCAACCTCAACCGCATCTTCGAAACCTTTTTGGCCTGCAGCCCTTACAGATGTGTCAAACTCACCAAACAAAATCCCTGGACCCTTTGTTGCCAACACCTTCCAACACCCCTACGACCCCAAAACCCGAGCCCTAGTTGATACCATTGATTAAACTTTCATGATTTTGATCAATGATTTGTTTAATAACTATGTTTAAAGTGAAATCACTGACCTCCAGGATCCGCGGAGCCACAGCGCCCTCGGCCGCAAGGCAGCGCAGGAGGGCGTCGAGGCCCCAAACACCTCCAGCGGGCCCGGGTGAGGGTTGAGGAGTCCCCCTGGCTTCTTTTTTGGGGACCTGGGCTTTAATCCCATCCCCCTCATATTAAACACCCCCCCACCCCCTAATAAATACCCCCCCCCCCATGATAGCTATGTTATAGTATATTGGGGGTTTTTAAGGGGGTCAGGGGGGGGTTTAATATTAGGGGGAGGGGATTAGGGACCAACTCACTCAGTACTGGCCTCGACTGGTGGCAGAGGTCAAGATGCAAAGAGACCTGCCACACAAAGCCACTCCAACACCAACAATGCGGACTATCCCCCACTGTATCATCAGAAATTCTGAAAGCAAGAGGTGTACTCCATGCAACCGCTAAGTGAGAAAGCTTAGAACTCATAGGTTCTTGATAGGGTGACAGAAGAGCCTGGGCAAACTGCCAGCCAGGGTACGGTAGCGGTGCACTGCCCGTGCTAGTTGAGTCTAACTGCGCAAGTAGACGACTCCCTTAACCCTACACCCTAGAGTCTGTGGACTTCGAAGCCATCAACGCTGTCGTGGGCTCTGCGAAGAACATTTCTCCACTCTGGCACATGCATTGTCTGCCATCCGGAGTCGATAAATAGGACAGGTTCAGGGGACTTCCCCCAAGTTGTCCGAAACCTTCGCTTCCGAACCTAATCTAAAGCTATGGGACATGAGAATCAGGTCCCGGAAGATTCGGCGAGAAGGCTATCTTGAAATTGATGCGAATGTCCTCAGGAACGCAAGATGAATTCGGGTATCGGCTCTAGGGAGATCCGCTTCAGGTCGCTGAAGGGGATCCCAGGAATGCAAATGTGTGTGTGTGTGTGCGTCATAAGTTTCAGAAGTCTTACTCTGTGGCGTTGCTCTTGACATGGCCAGTCCTAAGTTAGACACTTCTGTTCCCTAAAGCCACTGCTATCTTGGAGTCCGCGGATTTGCTCAAGCTCAGGGTGCGTAAGGCCTTACCAGGTAGGTGTTAGGGACTAGGCACCTTATCATCCCCATCTTACGCTTTCAGATATTTTGGGCCCGTTTACGTATGTTTCAGAGTTTGGGGCTGGTGTGTCGGCTCTGAGGTTCACGTTTAAGGATCGATTTAGGTAATCCATACACAAGTAGAGATAGAGGCGTCCACATATACCCATGCGTGAGAAAGTAGATGTGCATGCTTTATGACTTCAGCATGTACATGCATACGTGCCTCAATCAGCATACAGATGGCGCTGTCTATGGGGTCTGCATAACCCCACAAAGTTGGACTTCAAGATTTGGGGAGTGGGGCTAAGACGGTTACAGTGAAGATTTAGGAGACGACTTAAGAGGTTTTAAACTTCGGCTCCGTGGGTCCTCGAGGTCGGCAGGGTCTTCAGCAGTCAGCGGTTCTCCACGTCGCTGTCGTCTTCCTCCTTGACCTCGGCCTTGGCCGGCGCGAACTTCGGGTCTAGGCTTTGACGGCTTTGGGGGGTTTTGGGTTTAGGGTTTAGGGTTTAGGGTTTAGGGTTTAGGGTTTAGGGTTTAGGGTTTCTTGAGGCTTCAAGCTGGCCCTTGAAGCGATATTGCTGGGGCGAACCGCTCATGCGATGATTACGTCAAAGAGCTCGTCGGAATTGCCACGTGGGGTTAAGCGCTCAGGGATTCGGGGCATCAGTGGCATCAGGTTCAGGAAGCCCTGCTTGAAAACTTCGCATCCTTCTTGAATCTCGGAAACCTCAGGCCTTCCGACTTCCAACCCCAAGCCACGTCGAAAAGTCCTCTAAGGGGTCTTAGGGCCCGGCGGGGGGGCAGTTCTCCCAAGGGCGGCTCGCCTCGAACAGGGAAGGATTTGAGGGTCCGGTGCCCGGAAACCAAGTGCGCAAAACTTAGAGCAGCTGGGGGGGGGGTTCGAGTTCGGGGTGTTGGAGTTGCAGACTGATTTTGTGAGCTTGAGCTGGGAATGGGATACAAGGTCCCAGAGGTTTGGATCTGGGTCATTTTAGAGGCCAATGGGGCTGGGAGCTTGACAGTCTCGATTTTGGTTGGCTTGGGGATTCATGCTTCAGGGTTTGTCATGCGATGTCGGCGGCACATGATGACCAAGCCACTCCTTAAGCTCAGGCTCCATCCTCCCCAAAGCTCTACTGAGAGGCTCTTCGGCCTGTACCCTGCCAGCTCCAATGGGGTCGTAGCGGCAGAGGTAGAGCCTGGCCCCAACGGTCGGCCAGCTTTGGGAGTTAGGGTTTAGGGTTTAGGGTTTAGGGTTTAGGGTTTAGGGTTTAGGGTTTAGGGTTTAGGGTTTAGGGTTTAGGGTTTAGGGTTTGGGGTTTGGGGTTTGGGGTTTAGGCTTGATTTGCCTAGTCATTGAACATAGCGATGTGAGGCTCTGAGCGCACACTGCACACCGTAAACCCTAAACCCTACATGCAGACCCTAATGCAGAGCCCCCGTGGCGCCTTCGGCCATGCAGCATCTGCCCATCGAGTCCAGATATGGCGTTCCGGGCCTCCTTGGAGCAGGAGAACCTGTGAGGCTGTGAGGTTTCGGGGCTCAGTTTCGGGTTTAGGGTTTAGGGTTCAGGGAAGGTTCATGGGTCGTAAAGGAGTACGTTGACGTTCGGAAGTTAGAATTCTAAGTACATTGCCAGAGGTGATTACAGCCCTTATCATGAAGAGTCAACTAGGCTTAGGCAAGTTTGAGTTTAAGGCCCTGCAAATAACCCCCAAACAACCCGCAAATAAGCCCCAAATAACCCGCAAATAACCCCCTTAATAACCCCGAATGAACCCCTAAAATAACAACTACCATAACCCCTAAACAAGCCTAAATCACCTCAAATAACCCCAAACAACCCGAAATAACCCCAAAAAGGACCCCGAATCAGCCCTTGATAACCCCAAGGACCAGCCTGCAGGTTCCCATACCCAGGGAGCGGCCGTTGGGCTTGACTCGCAGCTCGAACTCCTGCTTGGGTTTACAATTAGGGTCTAGGGTTTGGGGTTTAGGGTTTAGGGTTGAGGGTTTAGGGTTTAGGGTTTAGGGTTTAGGGTTTAGGGTTTAGGGTTTAGGGTTTCAGGGCCTGGGCCGGGGATTGTTGGGGAACCCGATTCTCGACCCTCCAACCCGGGACCTGGCTAAATAGGCTCCTTGGATTTCAACACCAGTCCGGTGAATATCCTATAGTCATCGAGACTGTTGATTTCAAATCTTTGGCTCTTGGAAAATGGAATCCGGATCCTGAGTTCAGGAACGACTTGGAATTCCAGATGAGGTCGGTATGCAGAATGGACCCCGATGTATGTGGGTTGGGGGAGGGCGAGGGAAAGGCCGACAGGTCTCACTGCTCCAAACATCGGACCCCAATCCCAGAAGACCTCAGAGCTCCAAAGGTTTTATGGAGTCCCCTAGAGTGCCTTACACCATGGCGGAACCCAAAGGCTCCAAATTGCGTTACAAAGTCCCGCACACCAAAACCTCAGCGACACCTCCACGGTGCCATAGGCAGAGAACTTCCTCTTGAGCTCTGCTGCGGTCGTGGTCCACGTGACGTTGTGGAAGAACACACAAGAGAGGAAGCTCCTCGAAGGCCGGGCCCCCTAAAGCCTCATAAAACTCGTGAGTCTAGGCCAGGCTATTGCGGCTGTTGTACCGCAGAAGTAGTACTCCAAGAAGAAGATCCATGCTCGGGATGTAGGGTTCATGGCTCAGTGCGCAAATCGGTCTTGATTAGGGTTTAGAGGGGTTTATCGAGCCCCCGGGCCATTATGAGGCAAGCTCGGCAGCCTTGAGCTAAGACTCGAAATCACGTATACAAGAAAGCAAAGTGCGCATCCCAAACTCGCGCAATCCCACGACACGCTCCGGCTCTTCGAAGACAGCTTGGCTGAAAGCATTCAGCTTCAGAACCCCCCCAAGCCCTCTCCAAGCTGACCCTACAGTAAACCCCTAAACCCTAACCCTGAACCCGAACGTGCACGTAGAGTTTATCGATGTTCCGAGGGCCGTAGGTTGCGGCCGATGCGGCCGAGGTGCTTCGGTGGGTTTGGATCCTGAGGTCTCCGACACTTGGATGCTAAACCATGCGGTCCCATGGGGCCCTCGATAAGGTCATCATAAGATCATGTCATACAAAATATATATTCGAAATAATACAAGATAATATAAGATCGTAAGAAACAATAATATAGTAGCATACTAATAATAGTCACAATATCATAGTAGCAAGAATAACAATAATACAACAGCAATACTAACAATAGTACTAACCATAATACTAACAATAGTCACAACAACAATAATAAGAAACAGAATAGAAGGAAACATAATAATAAGAAACATAATAAGAAGAAAAAATCACATAATCATGCAACAATTAAAAATGATAACACCGCAACACAACAACACAACAACATAACAACATGAGAACATAGTAGCAAATAATATAAACAACATGGCAACCTACCAGCACAACAAGAGTACAAACAGTAATAACAGTAACAAACCCCAATAATAGCAAGAATAACAAAACAACCATCATCACAATAAGAACAAGAATAAAATAAACAGCAATAACAACAATAATAACAATGATAACAACAATAACAAGAACAACAAGAATAACAAGAATAACAATAAAAACAAGAACAACAAGAATAACAAGAATAACAATCATAACAGTCATAAAAATCATAACAATCATAACAATCATAACAGCCATAACAATCATAACAATCATAACGATCATAGCAATAATGACAATAGGAACAATTGTAACAGGAATGACAATACTGGCAATAATATCAAGAATAACCACAATGACAACAATAATTACCATAATAACAAGAATAACAATAATAAGAATAATAATAAGAAGAATAAGAATGGTATTAGTACGAATAATAATAACAATAATCATAGTAACAATATCAATAACAATGATAACACGATAACAATAACGATAACGACAACAAAGCCCCTTCGAGCCAAGAAATTGAGAGAGCCCCAAAGCCCTGAAGCGTTTTCAACCCATCAACTCGAACCCATCTGCTGCGCACCGAGCGACGAGCTCCAGCTGGATCCTCCACGTGTCTCAAAAGTTTTCAACGGAAGAGGTCAGCACTCCTTACCATACCTCCCTCGAGCCGCCCTATTAACCCATCTTTTTAGTGTAGCATAGTGTACATGAAATGGCATGATATTCTGTCATGTCACGTCATTCCCTTACCTGCACCAAACCTAGGACCCAGCTTCTGCCTCAACAGGCCTCAACCCTCAACTTCCCTCAGGCAGGTGGACCTCCGGTTGTCCACCCAGGCGCCGTTGAAGCGCTCGATGGCACGCCGCGCGACCGCTTCACCGTCCTGGGCTTCTTGGGGTTCAGGGGGTTTAAGGGGTTTAGGGGGTTTAGAGCTTGAGGCTGATGGGCTTTGGGATGTAGGCCCTAAGCTTCCCTAAGCTTCCCTAAGGTTCCCTAAGGTTCCCTAAGGTTCCCTACGTACCTACCCGCGGCATTCCTCGACTGAAAACCAGCCGATCTGCCAATCCACTCAACCAGCTAGCTGCCTCTACCAGGGTGTAGTATGTTAACCTTTAACTCTATACCCTGAAGCCTAAACCTCCATTTGGGCTTCGCAAGAGCAAGGGCCCTCAGCTTCGTCGCCCGCGCCATGAAGGAACGTCTCTCCTCCCAACTTGCAGGGTAAACCCTGCGCTGGGCTTTCAAAGTTTAAGGGCTGAGACTTGAGGAGTTCGGGCGCCAAGCGCCTTGATGCTAAACCCCAAAACCCCCCAAATCCAAGCAGAGGGCCCGGAGAGTCCCCTCGAGGCCGAGCGTCGAAGGTGCAGGTTCCCCATCCCAGCGACTTCCCCTCGTCGTTGCGCTGGAGGGTGAAGCAAAGAACAGTGCCGGCCTGGGCTTTGGGCTTAGGGAGGCTGAGCGTTTAGGGTTGAGGGTGTAGGGTTTAGGGTTGAAAGGTCTAAGGGGTAGGTCTCACACCTCCTAGTCCCACCATCCCACACCTCGAAACCTTCATCTACAACCTCAAGCTGCCCTTAAATCCCTGAAGGGCTGCGGGGAGCTGGGGTTGGACTTGGGGTGCTTACTCTGGTTTGTGATTTAGGTGTTATCCCGATGCCCTGCCTTTGACAGCAGCCACCGAAGGAATCCTGCCAGCAAGCACCACCAACAGCTTACACTTTTTGAGCCCTCGTGTCAGGCCAACAGTCTCAAAGTGCGATGGTATCGGGGAAGCCTTCGGTGCTCACAGAGTTGCAGTTGCTGAAGATGACGGAGCCTGGGGGCACGCTCTGCAAGGCGAGAAATGGGTTGACTTGGGCTGGCTGTGGCTTCTCTTGGCCCTGATGACACGAAGATACCTGTAGCCGTGGCAACCTCCCGTCCAGGCATCGGAATGGAAAGACACAGTGAAGACCGAGTCGGCGGCAGGGTTTCTCTGGGAACTTGTTCTTATCCTTCCAGAGATGGTCGGCTAAAGCCACTGGAATGTGGCAGATGTGCTGCCTTGTACTGGGGGATACTTGGATGTTCATGGTACTTAGCAACCCAATTCTATCTGTACTTATAACCCACTTGCCCCTTAATTCCCCTGACATGGTTATAAGTTATAAGTGGGTTACAAGTACAGATATACTTGGGTTGCTAAGTACCATGAACCTCCAAAGAGCATCCAAACGGCAAAAACCACATCAGCCTGCCCCCGGACATCGGCCCCACGCTCTTCGCTGGGGGGCCGGAAGAGGCAAACCCGCATCGTGCGCCCGTGCACATACCTCACTGCCATGAGGAGTATGGGAGTATGAGGTTCGAGCATCGAGTATAGAGCATGAGTAGGAGTATAGAGTCTTGAGTAACTCTGAGTATGAGAATGCCGCCGGGGGGTGGGGGGGGGGGGGGGGGGGGGGGGGGGGGGCATGACGTGATGCCGTTGGTTGCACACTGAAATTCTGAAGCAACAGCGGTTTGGAATGTTTCTGCCCAGGTTGGTTAGACGTTGGGGACATGAGCAGGCTCAAGGTTCGATTCGATGCTCCTGACAAGGTGGGCTTAGGGTTCAGGAGCCAGCGTCTACTGAATGGACTACTGTGCGACTTCTCAGCGCCGAACATGCCGAGCCTCTATGAATGAGAAGTACTTTCAAGGAAGTCCTGTCAAGTAAGCCTTTCACGGCTTAGAGGGTCCCTCACTGAATTACTGCCCAACTTTTCGTTCCCCAAGGACAAATATGAATGCTCGATCGTTGCAAGGTGCCACCCGCTAAGCTGCTTCACCGCCATGTTGGCATCAGCAGTCGATGTGTAGGACACTTTTCCTGGCAGCAAGGCTCCCATGTCTCAGCTAATCCCAGTTCCGCACACATTTGGCACCCGTACAGCGGAGGCTCTTACAGCTTTGGATCGGGCCATTTGAAGGGGTTCCCAAAATAGTAAAATAGGGGTAACCCTTTTGGAGGTTCCAACCATGAGGATAAGCGTCTTGGGGGGGGTATTCGGGGTACTTGAATTATGAGAACCACCCATTTGAGACCCTGCTTCTAGTGGCGTGCGTCATGCGAAGAGCCCTGGCTCAAAACCGCCGTCGAAGTTCATGGTTCAGAGTTTGGGGCTTTGAGTTTACGGTTTTGGGGTATCGAGCAGACGAAAATGGTTCAACAACTCGCCACTTCTGTTCAGGGGTCGTACAATGAGCATACTGCGATACTGCGACAGCCTACAAGCCTGAATCCTCAACCCTCCACCCCGCCCCTGACCTCTGCACCCACATTCAAAGGTTAAACCCACAAACCCTGCTCTACCGACTCAAAGATGGAGGCCCTGGGCTTGGGGACCCTACCCCACCCCCCCCTCCTTAGGGAAATCTTGGAGGCCATATCACCCAATCACGCCTCGCCCAAGGGACTGCCCATCGGGGCCTGAGGGGGGCTTAGAAGATATTTTGGGGCTCAAGGGGTTGGGTTTAGGGACCCTAAACCCTAAACCCTAAACCCTAAACCCTAAGGGGTTTTGAGTCAAAACGCTGGGCCAAACCGCTCTTCCCCATGTGTGAGATATAGTAGAAGGTACTACTACTACTACTACTACTACTACTACTACTACTACTACTACTACTACTACTACTACTACTACTACTACTACTACTACTACTACTACTACTACTACTACTACTACTACTACTACTACTACTACTACTACTACTACTACTACTACTACTACTACTACTACTACTACTACTACTACTACTACTACTACTATACCATGATATATATGCGGCCAAAAAAAGGAAAGAGTTCCAGCGCCCTGTAAGGACCCTACTGTAGCCTTTACTTCTTGGGATGCTGCCTTTTGGAAACCCCCTATAGGGCCGGAAGCTGCGTCAGAATTTTGCCTTTGGAGGTTCACAACGGTCTGGGGAGGATCCTCACGCCTAACCACGTAGCGTCTGGATTCCGCGGGTTTAGAAACCAAGGCCCTAGACCCAGTTTTCAGGCTGAAGTCCTCCCAAGCATGAAGGGTTTTAGGGTGCTTAGGGCTTAGGACTTAAAAGTTCAGGGTATGCCGGGAGCCCTGTGCTACCACGGAGCCTTTCCAAAGCTCGAAGTGCGTCACACGCCCAACTTCTTCGAACAGTGATTTCAGGTAGTCCTTGCGGGCACGAGCACGAACTCGAATCCCCAAATCCCAGTGGTTTGGCTTGCGGGATTGGGGCTCAATTGCAGCCTGAGCCCGATCCGGCCCCAATGACCTCAAATCCCCAAACATGACTTCGACCACACGCCCGTCGGGCCGTGGGACGAGAGACTGACGCAGGTCCTCTACGCGCTTCAGCTCAACACCAAGCCGAATGCCCTCCGAATGTCGAAGTTGCCAGGCGTGGAATCGGCGGAGCTCGAAGTTTCCAACACCCCCCTCAACCCCAAAACCCTAAACCCCGAAACCCCGAAACCCTAATTTTTGGAACAGATTAGAATCATGATTAGAATCATGATTAGAATGCAGCTGAACGCAGGTGCCCCCCGGCTTGGTGTCACTTGGTGTCCTCGGGCACTCGCCGGGAGAGGTGCGCAAAGAGAACCGAGTACGGATCGGTCCTGTCGCAACAGGGTTTTTAGGTTTTTTAGGGGTTTTTAGGGTTTTTAGGGTTTTTAGGGTTTTTAGGGTTTTTAGGGTTTTTAGGGTTTTTAGGGTTTTTAGGGTTTTTAGGGTTTTTAGGGTTTTCTCATGCCGCCCAGGGGCTGGCTCTTGGAGCTCCTGCTGGCTATCCGCTCGTCCCGGTTCTTGCGGTAGCGGCCGTAGTTGCCTGAGCTCCCCGTAGCAAGAAGGCTCGAAAAGCACGGCGTCTCTCTGCGTTACCACGGTAACATACTTGGCCCAGGTAGTGCCGGGAGTGCGATTGGGTTCTCAACGGCTCTCACAGACTTCCACGTGCTCGCGGATGCGTAGCAAAGTGCGACAGCTCTCTTGGACATCATTGCGGTGAGGCCAAGCACCACTGTGAAGCTCTCATCCCCCCAAGCCCTAAAACCCTAAACCCTACGACCCAAAAACCTTAAATCCCAAAATAGGTCCTAAAACCCAACCACCATAAACCATAAAACCCTCAGTCCCTACAACCCTAAAACCCGAAACTCCCAGACCACCCCCCCCCCCGGCAGAGAGTGCCGAGATGCCATAGGACCGCTTCTGAAACTCCTGGGGCGGTTTCACTTGGCTTTGCACAGGGCAGTTTGAGGGTTTTAAGAAGCTTTAGGGTTTTAGGGTAAGGGTTTAGTTTGTCGATTTTGGTGCCTGGGGTTTAGGTTGTTGCTGCTTTGCAGGCTTTGGAGTCTTGGGCGCCGCAGGTCCCAGGGTAAGGGGGTGAGGAGCAGGTAGCTCTTTCTTCGAGTTGAGGCTTGCAAGAGAACCTAAACTGGAAGTGTGAAAGGGGGAGCCCATTGGCGAAACAACAAGCGCCTAACTGCTAGTTTGCGTGGCACCACTGGATGTGGACGGAGGGCGAAGCTCCCAGAGCTGGTATTCGGCACGGGGGAAGGCGATCGGCACGGGTAAGAACCGAAGGGGCCTTGGGCCTAAAGGGGGAGAAGCAGGCGAAGTGGCAGTCCCAGCTTTGGGGGGCTTTGGGGTCTGGACGTAGGGCCTTGCAGGCGCTGCATTCAAGTACTTCGGACCCTGCTTTCTAACCTCAGACTCTCAAGGCAGCGGGTCCCGATCAAAAATGCAGTGGCCGGGCAAAACCGGAAAAGACGGAAACATCCGGCAATGACACAACCTAAAGCTGTTTCTAAGCCTAGCCCGTGCGATGTTCCCAGCCGAGAATCTCGTCTGAGCTTCGTGGTCTTGATGTTTTTGACCAGCATCCTTTCCAGATCCCACTTTTCAGGCAGCGAAGTCAGAGGATGTGGGGCCATCACATCGGCCGGGGATTGCCCTTTTGGGATGCAAGCTTGGTCCCGAAACCCTAAACCCTAAACCCCAAACCCTAAACCGAGTCAAGATCCTACAAAGCCACTCCACATCCTGAAGGGCCCCCATGGCGCCTGAGTTCTGTCGGGCTCTCTGGGGTTGGATTCTTCGTGTTGGCCTGGGCTGCCAGGAGAACGAAGCGGTTCATACTCCGAAGCCCTTTGGACTTAAGTTCGAAAAAAGTGGGTTATGGAAGCTATCATCGGGTTTTTCTAGGGATTCTAGTGGATACTAAGTGGACTTACTAAGTCACAAGAGCTTGAAAGACAGCATGGAGCTACTCAGCCGGGCTCTGCCTTCCGCCGAACGTCGGCGTTGGTCGGCCTCGATGAAGGGTTGGCCTCGTTCCGCATCTGGTGCACACAGCCCCCACTCTTCAAGGCGCAAGCCAGCACCAAGGATGTTTTTAGCAAAAGTGGGGGAGGTTTACTGAGGTTTACAAGAAAACCGATCGGCCTCGGACTCCACTTTTCAACATTCTTACTGGCCTACAGATGCTGAACGTCTCACATCATGAAGGCACAACAACGCTTTTGAAATCAACGACAACAACAGGAGGTTTACAATCATATGTCATCTAATACAGTGTGCAAAACTTGGTCCGGTGTTTTTTGGCTTGCGGGTTGTCAATGTCGTGTTTGTTGTTCTTGCGTGTCTTTCCTAGTGTTGTTCGTAGGGTGGGCAAATGCAATCATCAAAACAGAAAAAGACAAATCCATATTTCACGGCAAGCGACTTCAAACCCCTCCCCAACTCCCCAACTCGCCGGCCGAGAAAAACTCTTCTAGTAGAACCCTTAAGAGGAGCCAACCCAACCCAAATCAAAGTCAGAGGAAGCAACACCACAAGCATACACAGAAATCATGAACTCTTTCCTCACTTGCAGCTTCCAGAAACAGAAGGGGGCACTTTCAATAGCATGCTGCAATGTTTGTTTTCCTGCTCTGCATTAGATGTCTCGCGCCACTGAACTTTTAGTGTTTTGGAATTGTTGGTCCTCCTATTGTGGCTCTATTATTTGGCAAGAGAGAACACTGGCGAAAAGCCTAAATTAAGGGGTCTTTTTTGGAGCAAAGCCACTTATAAAGAGAGAGAGAGAGAGACGATAACTTGAAGCACCCCCACCCGCGGTTTCGGCTTTAGGGTTTAGGGGTTAGGGTTCATTTAGGGTTTAGGTTCCTACCCTAAAAACTCTAAACAAACGTTCAATAGGGCCCCCACCCAGCCGTTGCGGTAGCAAGTCCAAGCCCAGGCGGACTCTTGCCGGGCCTGGGGCCAAGTGCTCGGATGCAGGGGAGGAGTGTTCGTCAACATGGCACAAGTCAAAGCGCCAGCCAATGTGCTGTTTACTCTAACGTTGGCGGCTGCGGGGAGATCGAAAATGCTGAAATATCACGGGGTGGCGAGGCCGTCGCCGGCTCAAACCCCTCTAACACCACCACAAAACACAGGACCGGATATCGAGGGGCGACCCTGCCCTAAACTCTTCAACCGACCTCTACCATCTCCCAAAGTGCAAAGAGCCACGCCCCAAAACCTGCGGCCCTGCTCGCCTGCGAGGGCTCTCGGGCTGCAGGCTGCAGCCGAGCCTTAGAAAGCAGGCAGGGGGCCACTCTGGTTTGGGGCTTCAGCTTTTCTCAGGGGAAGCCTCACGGGCCCTCTGGGCCCTCTGGGGGGCTCTGAACCCGAACCTGGGGGCCCAAAACCTTCCCTACACTTCCTTTCTTGCCCCTCACTACGAAAGCCGAGAGTCTCGTCTTAACAGCCTCAAAGCAGAATCCTCCCCCCTCGGCATTCTTTGGGTTGGGGCGCGATCATCGGTTTAGGGTCTGAGGCCACCCTCCACTTGAACGAAGCACAATGAACCATGGGCACGCCTTGTTGCCATCCTTCTTCCGGGGATCAACCTGCAAGCAAAGCACTGGCTCGTATCAGACGCAATCCAAGCATCCCCAAGCCACAGAAATCGAAGCTAGATTTGAAGACCGAGCAAGGAACCGCTATGAAGCCTGAAGGCTTCTCATCCCCCAGTTTCAGATTCCAATGAACACCATGAACCTGCCATAAATCCCCCATCAATCTCCCACGACTCCCCCGTGAATCCCTTACGATTCCCCTTTGAGTTTTCTACGCATCCCCTTATGAATCCCCGATGAAGCTTTTGTGAATCCTGACAACCTTGACAGCACCCCGCGCCCTACAAGCACGCCTCGTCCAGATGCGGCCACTCCTCTGGGTCTGGTTGCCAGCCCTCCTCGTCCCAGTCCCAGGAGCTGTTCCAGTTTCCATGCTGCTCCTGGATGAGGGGTTAAAGGTATCATTTTCGGGTGAGGGGGGGCCACCTTCACCCCTAGGTTCTTTTTCGTGGCATCATGGTCGGGGCAACCTGTATAGGTCTGCGCGAAAGCGGCGTGTATGAAGCGTGGCTGAAGCACATGAAGCTGCGTTGGCAGAGTATCCGGCGAAGTACCAGCATGAAACTGCCACCTTATACAAGTAAAGGACTTCTGGTGTGATCTTAAGCTCGTAGAGCATCGAAACAGCATGTGTGTGTGTGTGTGTGCGCGTACGTGCGTGCGTGCGTGCGTGCTTGCCTGCCATATGCATGCTGTTGGCTGTATATGTTGCAATTTGGTGACTTGAAAAGCAAGCCGCGTGCCCCGGAAAAATGCCTCTCCGTAGCTGTAAATTCTTAAAACAAACTCGCAAAGGGCTCTGAAACACGACACGACCCTCTACGTATACCCTCCTACCCATGACCTACCCATGAACCTTCCTTTACCCTTTACACTAAACACATGAACCTTCAATATGACATGCCCTTAACTTGGGCCCCCTCTTCTATAACCCTTATGTATACACTTTACAGAATAAGGGCCCATACTTCGGATCCCTTTAAATCTCTTTAAACAAGGGGCCCATGCTAAGGGCCCTAGTTCCAACCTTAGCCTTAGATTCAAGAGAAGCCTCCCCGTGTTCCCCAGTCACCTCCCAGGCTCGGATCTGGTCCTGTCCGTGAGAGCCAAAGGGCTTCAGGGGCTTGGCATTTTAGGGTTTGTAGGGTTGAGGGTTTAGGGTCTAGGGTTTAGGGTTTGGGGTTTGGGGTTTAGGGCTTGGGGTTTCGGATAAGGTTTGCAGAATTTTGGGCTTGACAGCCGGCAAGCTCCGGGCTGTGGGTCAAGAGGCTGGAGGCTTTCCTAAGGCTGAACTTGCTTGCGCCTCTCAGTAAGGGACAGTCAGGGTGGGCCCAAAGGGCTACAGCCCAAACGCCCTGAGAGCCCTCACCTCACACCAAAGCTCGGCCACCAGCGAGCACAAGCCCAATCCTAAAGCCTCCAAATAGACATCTATACAGTAGTTCCAACACCGCCTGAGCAGCACAGTCGGACCTTGGCACGGTCGGACTCCTCTTTTGCTCTGCGCGACTCCTCAGGGAAAGTGCAAGGTCGGGTTTGGCCCAAAACTTATCAAAACGTTCCATGATCCATGGGATTTTGGCTTTGCTGGGTCGTACCGTCTATCAAACAAAAACTGTCTGTGGCTGCCCTGCACGCGTCGAGAGTGCAATATCTTGATGCGTTGGGTCGACTAAGTTTCACCTCCCGTCCGAAAGGCTCTGAACTGGTTCTGAGTCCTGATCCCACGAGACTCAAGGGGCCTGGTAACCTGAACTGTGAACCCTAAACTGCCCTACACTCTCGGCCGAGCATCCCCGCAAACCCTAAGCCAGCCGAACGGAAGTGGGACCTCCAAAGACACGCAGAGACCCTGAACGCAGAGACCCTTACGCCCCCAAACCCTACACCCCAAACCCTAACCCTACAAACCCCACAAACCCACAAACCCCGCAAACCTTCCCAAGGCCCGCCAAAGCCCCAAATGCCCCAGTAGCCTCCATGGCCCGACGCGACTCCTCTTTCGCACGCCGGCCTAGGGTCCATACGGTTCAGGGTTTGGGGCTTAGGGTCTAGGATTTGAGGTTTCGGGTTTGGGGCTTGAGTTTACGATA